TTAAAACTCCCGACAACATTGGCATAGCTGGAATTGAATGTGTTTGATGGAAAGGGGGAAATGTTGGATTGAATTGATTCCTGAATAAGTGAATCAAGTGTGCAGTTACATTGTAAACTTCGCTACGTCAAACTGAATACCTGTTTGGACAGTTTTTCACGAACTGCCTCCACGCAGCATACAGGAAAGTGTTAACTGTAAACGAGTATTTTTTTTCTCATAACCTGAACTACAGCTGAAAGTCTCAATGCCAGGGAAAGTTAACTCTAAACTGAGCTTGCGTCGAACTTTTGAATTTTGTTGTGCGGCAGATTCTCCATCTTAACCAATGGCTGCTGATGATCACCTAGTCCGACGTTGAACATGGTGACGCCGAACGTACAGTATCGGTGATCGTTGACCGCCTGTCATTCATTATACGAACGAGGGGGGGGGGTTATACGGGATTAGCCATTTCCTGATGGTGAGCATAGGTTATGAAAAGAAGCATCGCACGCCATCCAGTGCTCTGATGTTCAAGAAAATGCTCCGGTATCTGTACCTGGTTAGTTGAAACGAAACCCAGGAGCCGCCGTTGATAGTGGTCTTACTCAGGTATCATCTGATTAAGCAAGTAAGCAAAACGAAAATCCTTCACTTGTAACTTAGGTCCTCTCAGGACGTTGAGGCTCCTTGTTGTGGTGACACTGATATTTGTCATCATACACTTTTTAAACACTGTCGGTGAATGTCCGAATGTTATCTTTACTGGAATGTGCATTATGTTAAAATACGAACCTGCTAGTCGCTTCTGCGCCTTGCCTCCTCCCTCGTCTGAAAATAAAAGTGCTAGTGCGTTAGAGAGTCCTCAATTTGCGTGCTCGTGCTGCACGTCAATCGGTCGTTCCGGAAGCACCAGCTCAGTGATGGCGAGGACACACGCGATGCCAACTTCAGTACGTGGCATTACGAACAAAATAATACGCATCTAAAGGAATGCAGCATTCTGCGCGTAAATTCAAACGATGAAGCGTTTAATGTTCGTGTCTTTTGTTTGTAAGGAACAGTACCAAATAGTTTTTGTCAAGCCGGGAATAAATGAAGCTCTCACTGTTTTAGTTCACTAGCTGCATAACTCTAAACAGATACGTCGTTAACACTGTTCGCGGGCCATCGTTAATTGCGTCTGTTAGCGAGACTATGAATATTTTTTCTCATTTTTCATGAGTGTACAACCATCTGAAATCTTCTGCAGGTGTGTAAAGCTGTTTGTTTGTGAACCGTACCATGTTTGTGAAAAGTATGCGCTGGAAGTTGTAATTTTGTTTTGAATAGTCTATTATAATGTCAGGTATTGAACAAGAAATGATCTCGCTGTGTAAATGTACTTAATTATACAGTCAAAACAACTGAGCATAAAAAGCTTATCTGTAAACTCAATGTGCTTAATGCCTTGGGAGATGAAACTGAACTGAAATATCAAATTTACGTACTCATTCTGCACTTCAAAGGGTCGTTCCGAAAGCACTAGCTAAGTGATCGTTGGTGAGGACACACGACATGCCAGCTACATTGCTTGTCCGACATAAACATGCATGCTACAAACAGCATTACCGGCGTAGCACATTCAAACCCAGCGTTCGCTGCACTATCTGTTAATTACATCTCTCATGCGTATTGGGGTCGGACAAACGAGATGTGACAAGGAAAACAGAGCCCTAGTATTTGTCTAAATATCGTGTCGGGTGCGCTGTACGCTGATGAAACGGTGAGCACTCCCGTAAATGCTAATTTGTTGTACCCGAAAAAGCTGTCGGTTTTGGAAAATGTAGAAATGTATTCACCGAGATTTCGAAGTTAGCGGCAAAGATGGAACTGTGCATTTGAG